GCTGGAAAAGGAGGCGTGCAAGCGCTTTGAAGTGCTCTACTGCTGCGGCTTTGGATCGTAACAGCTCGCACATTCAATCAACGAAAATGAAATGAGATGAGATGAGCGGCCGGGCTGCCAGTCGTTAGGTTATACATGCGCCGATGTGAGTGTGTGTGTGGGGGTATTTGCGGTGGTGTGTGTGTGTGTGCACACTTATTCATTCATTTGTATACTAATAAACGCACAATCAGACATAATGACAGACAATCAGTCAAACAAACAAACAAACATACAGAAAACAACGCGGCAGAGGCAACAAACGACATTATCCAAAGTCAACAGCACACACACGCACACACACAGACGACACGCATGAGTGTAGGCTGTGGGCACACATACACACACACATAAACACACGCATTAGATGCGCTTTATGTTTATCTCAAAATGTGCTGCTTGACGGCTGATGAGTTCTCGCTCTCGCTCTCTTTCTCTTTCTCTCTCTCTCTCTCTCTCTCTCTCTTTCTCTGTCGCTTTCTGCCTGTCTGTCGTCTCAGTCATATACAGAAGCAGTTGACGGTCTCTTCTTCTTCTTCTTCTGCCTCAACTCTAAGATGATGGCAAAATACGTTGGCTCCTAACTTTGCTGCTGTTGTGGTTGTTGTTGTTACATAAACCGCTTAGCGGCGTAATTTAAATCCCTTTTGTGCTAAAAACTCGTGAAAAGCCTTTCAAAATAATTATCATAATAGCAAATGACTTTTGTTGTGTTTCCTGTTGTTGTTGCTTTTAATTGTTGTTGTTGTTGGTGATATAATCTCTCAACTGGATGACGGTCGAGTTGGCTAACACGTTAGCCAACTGCGAATGTTGCAACTTCTGTTAAGCCTGCAGCTAAATTGTAACTCTTAGCTAATCAGATTCAACAATCTTAATTAGATGAACTATTATTTGTAATTGATAATTGAAATCAATCCTCAAGCATTTTATCTCTGTTATGTGTAAGTGAATATGTTTGCTTGTGGATTGATTTGATTGTCGAATTGTTAAATTCAATCAGTATTGATACAAAAGCTTGAAGCAAAATTCAATATTTATTGAAACACACATGAAATATGTAGATTTAGATTTAGAACTTACCAATTAATGGCTCAGTTTAGGGAACAGGAAATTGTTGCATGGTGATAGATAAGGCGAATACTGAGGGTGGTCGATGACACAGATCTATTTTTTCATATAAAATTTACGAACTTTTTTGGTTTTGTGAGCTGCTTCCCCTCTAGATATTCAGGCCTATCATGAACAATTTTTGACCACACACGATTTATATTCTAATGAATTCCATAGCTTATATCGAATACTAAAATAGACTAATAAGAACCGATGTAATTACACCAAGACAAGAACTAACATCTTCTACGCAACGCACAACGCCGCCTGGCATTGAAATACAGGTCAACGATCGCATTCTCGCTCTATAACCAACACCAACACCAGATGTCAACTTAAGAAGTAGCTGAAACACAAACAATCGCAATTTTGATTCATCGAATAGAAAAGATTCTTCGAATAGAATAATATCACATTTTTAACGGGTTCAGGGTATACAACTGTTAACTTTACACTGCGTGTGGTCAATAGAAATATTCAATTATAATTTCATGTTTTTAGATAATTAAAAGTGCTCAGCAAAGCTCTGTATCATGAATAGACCAAAGTTTGTTATCTGACAGTCTGACAAAACAAGATCAGTACAATTTGCGACAGCTGTTTTACAGCAGCTGATAACAACGAAAACGTGTTTTGCATTTAATTATAAATCGATTAGTCTATCCTCAGCATGACTTAATTACGTGCACTTAAAAACTTTAAGCAGGCTAAGAAAATGAGGAAAATCAGATTAGATCATTAATATAATATTCGATAACAAGTAAGAAAGCTTTAGTCGGGGTGCCCGACTAGGAGATACCCTGATCCCAGTCCTATCTGCGCTTATTAATATTTTCCGTAGTTTGTATCGAGTATTCAAAAAAAAAAAAAAAAAACAAATAAAAAACGACTCTACCAACACCGCCTCTTTATAATTAAAAAAAAATAAATAAAACAATAAAAAATGTCTCGTCGGCGCGAGGATTGAACCCGAGACTATACTCTAACGAGCGCCGGCTCTACCAGCGCAGACATTGCACCTCTTGGAAGGATAGTTGCAAATTTGAAGTTGAGTAGCAGCTGATAACTCAAGCGGTATTCAATCGCAATTTCGATTCTTTGAATAGAAAAGAATACACGCATTTGAATGTATGTGTGCACACGCATAGGAAAAATGCGTGCCCGTGGCGCTGCTGACATGTGCTTTTGCAAATTGGCCAAACGTTTTGTTTAATAACTTCTGATTTACTTAATGGATTTTAATGAAATTTTCAGTATATGGTCTACATATCCTATTGGCTGCTTGAGATGTAAACGCCCTCACATAATGGCCCTATTTCTAACTGAACTTAAATTTTAAGAATTTGTGGGAATTTGGAGCCGGTATCACAAATCCAACAAAAACGAAAATCGCATAAAATATATGTACATATATGTATGTATATATATGTATGTAATATATGTAAAACTAAATGCAAACTTTGGAGGCTCAATTGACTCGGCTTGTCGTCCTGATGAAGAAGATATGTATATACTTTATGGGGTCTGCCACGCCTCCTTCTGCCTGTTACATACAGTTTCACAAAACCATTATACCCTGATTTTCCATTTTCAATGGAATCATGGTATAATTAGCACTGAATGCGGTTTCGATACAGATACATGTATATATATATATATATATATATATATATATATATATATATATATATATATATATATATTATATATGTATATGCGCTTCTCTTGTTGCTTGTTTTGCAACTACAGCTTGTGTATTGTGTGATTTTATGATGAACACAATGATGATGATGATCTATGAGATTGATGGGCTAATTGGGATACAGAATTATTTGACGGCATTCCAGACATTTCGATAGTTTGCAAAATAAAGAACAATTCTGTGTGGCGGCTGTTATGGCAACAAAATCATAGTTTTCTAGCTCTGCTTCCCTTTTTCTCTTACTCTGTCTGCCTTTTTGTGGGATGACAAGCACACAAATCACAATTAAAATGTCTGTTAGCATTTTCATAAAGTTGCAATCGCAATTCTCCGATTGCCTTAAACATATTTGCAGCTCCTCGAAGTGGAGCTTGGTAAATGGCAAGAAAATGCTTTGCTTGTTACGTGAATTCCTGGAGAGCAGAGCAAGAGACGGGGTACAGACATCCGCCAAGCCTTAACAACTATGGCATCAGGCAACTCTGGCATTCCCCGTTCCGCCACCTTGCACCTCATAGACATGTCAGTTGATTTTTATATATGGCTTGTAGTTTCTTGTTTGCCTTGAGCTGGGAGCTGCCAGATGGCAGAGTAGGAGCTCCGCCTCGAGGTAGCAAGCTCCTCGACAAGCAGTCTCTATGCCGATTCCGTGTGCTGTGCAATTTTCCTGTCTGTGACTTCTTTTTTTACTGCTTGCCAAAACAAGACTTTCTGGGAGGCGACAGCGGTTCGGGGCGTGGCTGTCTGCACGCGATGTTTAACGTCTGGCGGCTGCTACTTATAAGCCACAGGCTCTGAGGACCCAGCACATGCCAGCGAATCAGACGGACTGACAGCCCAACAGCCAGACGGCCAGACGATAGACGATAGGCAAATGCAAACATGAAACTTTTCAGCTAAGGCCGAACGTACCCACCGACGGACAACGAGGGAATATGCCCAGCCTACTTCGCCGCCAATCATCGGCGTAAATTGAGCTCATTGTGGCCTAACACCATTTCACGCTTGCTATAGTATGCGTGTGTGTGAAGCTGGAGTCAAACAGCGGCTGCAAATTACAACAGCTCGTGCAACAGCAAGTGGAGCTCCGGTTACAGCTCCTGTGTGAAGTCGTTAAATCGGCAAAGTCAGCAAAGTAAAATAAATTGAGCCAGGTCATGTTTCGAGCATGAAATACATTTTTATTGCACTTGCTGCACCAAAATTTCAACACGAACTGTTCAAATGCATTAGATATCGACTGCAATTGACTCTCTCTTGCTCTTTCGCTCTCTTACTATCTCTCTCTCTCGCTCATTCTTTCGCGCTCTCTCAGTATAGCCAGCTCCACAAACTAAACTATTTAAAGCATATCGTTAAATAGATTTAACAAATTGACAACAGCGCATATTTTTCTTGATTTTCGTAATATTAGTTGAAGTAGTTCTACATTGTGACTAGCATGGGTTGCTTCCTATGAAGCATCATGAAATATTTTCATGTGCCATAGCATGTTAGGGAATATATTTCCTTTTGATGGAAAGGAAGTTTAGTCTAAGAGACAGCGTCGATTTCCTTTTCTCTTTATTTATTTTAGTATTTATAAGTCATTATTTCCTAAATGTATATATTTAAATTATTTGAACATAATACTCTACGGCCGATGATTGAAAAGATACTGAAAAACTCTTCTCATAATTGCAGCAATTATATTTCATTTTTAAACTATTTTAAGTTCTATAAAAACGAGCATGATATTTACCAAATGTAATATTGGTCTCCATAGTCTCTCATGACCAGAAGTTGAAGCAACTTTCATTTGCTTCCGTGTTTTTAGAGAATATCGATAGAAGTTATATATTCTTGATAAGGATGATAAGCTTTCCGATATCTTGTCTCATAATCTTCATAACGATTAAGAGCGTTATTTTGACTTAGTTTTTTGGGGTAGTTTAAGACTTATTTAGACTGAAGATCTTTTCTATCTTTTCTCTGTGGAGTGCACCCTCCATCTATCTGCTAGTCAGATACTGTCGACAAGAGCACCCTTTCTTAAGTACTATTATTAAGTACTATTGAATAAGTATTTAGTCGATTTTATATACACTGCTCACTTACCTTTACTAATCTTTATATTTTGTGTTTGTTTTATGCTATCTATTTGCAGGTGAGCACATTGAATACTTAAAAAAAATCACATCTGACTACAGGCCACGGATTGCCCCAACCGTAGTTGTGAGTAGACCACCAATAATTGTTTTTTATCTGTTCTGTTGTTGTGAACGCTCGCGGCTTCATAAATTTTAATGTAATATTTCCATGTTGTACACTTTGATGGCGCCAAAACGCTTACAACGCCGAAAATTATGCCATAAAAATGCAGAGCACTAATTAGGCCAACAAACATGGCCAACAAGCAGCCAACTAACCGAAGCCGAACCTAGCGCCTACCAGTAGACACTAACAAAAATTCCACTTCAATTTTTTTTGCTGCAAATGTTTCGCTCCGTCTTGCTTGCTCATTTGTCTCTCTCTCTCTCTCCCTCTCTCCCTGTCTCTCTTATTCTTTTTCTTTCTACGCTGGCGATACTTATATTTTCACTCTTTCTTTTCTATTTTCTTTTGATACCCTTACTGAGGCTCCTTTTACATTAGGCAAGACATTATATATAAATATATATATATTATTATTATTATATTATATATATATATATATATATATATATATATAATAATATATATATATATATATATAAATAAATGTTATTCGTATATTTTATTATAATAATATAGGCATTTCTTAAATTTTTTCTGCTCAGCCCGATATAAAAAGTTAGGTTCTTTCCTTATATTGAAAAATTTTTTAAAATATAAATAATCGATCGGAATTCATGAATGTATAACACTTAGTTTGCAAAAACGATCGGGGCTTACAGCAAACACTGTCTGAATATATTCAAATGCAATTCAAGATGCGCTTCAGCTTGGAAGTGTACTCCAGTTTCGTTAATTTTGAAGTTTGTCGGCTCCATATATTTTTTTATGGTTTTTTTTTTTCGACGACCCATCCTTCTCTTGTTGAGCGCCATTTCAGCTGTAAGTGTAATCATCGCACGATGAAAGCCGCTTACAATAATTGCCCCGCGTTGTCCGACATTGCGCCTTGCTGTCGCTGCCTAGCCACCCCTAACCTGCCTCAGGCTGCCACATCCCCGTTCGTTGCCCCATTGTGGCAGCCATTGAGAGCGTCCATTTTTGCTTTGGCACCACGTTTGGGGCTCTGCGAATGTAACCGGATCAGGACTCGACCAGCCGGGTCCATTACAATTTTTTCTCTCTATATTTTTCTGTTACCGCTTTTGGTTAATTCATTTGAAGGCGCAGCACAAAGCGCAACGGTTTTTGTCGATTTCCGAGTCGGAGGGCATAATCGCAATCATAAGTAGGGTGCGGTGTACCAGACAAAAGGAATCCCCCATCCATATGCTGAACGCTCGGCGCCCTAGCGCCCTGGCTGTATGTAAATCCTAGGCGGTCATTAGAGAGTTTCCAAGCGATTAAACCTCGGCGAAAGCATGAAAAGTAGTAGAACAGCCAATAGATAGAACGAAACAGTTATATTCAAGAAAGGCTTATTCAACAGCTTACGGCTTATACAACAAAAAGCTAAATTATCTACCCTTGAGCTTGGCTGAATGCCAGTTAAAGATACTAAAGAAATAACTAAATTCTAACGGAGCTTAAATATACTATATTTCGAGAGACATTGATGTAAAGATATGAAGAATATTAAAATGAAATTGCTGATGAAAAGGAATGCATATATAAAGTCATGTGGCTACAGATGTCTCTAGGAGAGTAGGTACTGTATTGAAGTTGAACTATATTACTAATTACCGTTAAGCTTAGGAGTGTAGCTTTGAAACAACCTTAAATATTGTTGCAGGCAGATGACTGTCACTAGGCCAGAACATTTACATTAATTCGATATCAGCGGATGCTTTTAACTTATTTACATTCGAAATTGCAAGACTCGAGTTTCAAGACGGATTGCGGATAAGCCAAAATATTTGAAACAATTGCGTCTTCTTACTAAATACCGACCGGATAATATTTTCTAAACATAAACAATTATTCAAAAATGTTCGAATCATTGCATGGAACTACGCTGTTCACTCAGTAATGGTTCTTCTGTTTTTCAACTTATCCATCTTTGCCTCATTTGTAGTTTGCGCTTGTCATCCTTTCCTCTTTATTTATAATTAAATTATGTTTGGAAATTTCGTTTTACTACTTTACGTGTCACGCGTTCATCTCTAAGGCCTAACTTGAAGAATTTTCATCATGCTTTCTTGATTAATTTGATTTTGTGTCGCTTTGCTGGCTGCTGAACTGAAACGTTAATAAATAATTTAATTTATGTAAGTATTTTAAGAGGCAGCCACATAAATGTTATTCATGTGCTGCCGCAGAGCAACCACCGAACCGCCCAGCCCCGACCCTTCTCGCCCTCCTCTCTGGACTCACCCTCTCCTCCACATTCTCTGTGGCTGTCGCTTTGTATGAGTTGTTGGTCAGTTGGCGAAGTGAATTCTGGGCAACAGGAATCGTGGACAGCAATATTTATGCTTTTTGCTTTGTTAGACCTGTCAATGTTGTTGTTGTTGTTGTCCCTAGACGAGGGTCGACAGTGCGGATACACATTCGGTTGTCGGTTTTGGGGCTCTCCTACCCCAAAGAGCATATCAAAAACTATGTTAAATTTCCTGGTCGACTAGGAGATGCGCTGCCTGAGCCCTCTACACTGCTGTTACATCTTTCTCAACATGCCGTCGGGCAAGCCCTGTCGCACTGTTTAAACAACTTTTGGTCATTTATGTCACTTCATATTTATTAAGCGGTCTCCGCATAATTGGCAATTCTGCCTCCTGTCTGCCAGCAAGACTGCCTTTGCCACGCCCTCTACCCCATGCCTTGCCAGAAAGTGCAGCGCTTAAAGCCACCGCATCGCCACATGAAACATATTGGTGGTGGTGGTGTCGGTGGCGCCTTTGGCACTTCAGCGGACATCGTGAGGCTGCCAGATTGCAATAAAATTGAAAAGAGCCTGTTAAGTGCCATATAAAATGATTGCACTTTAAAATAGTACTTTTGCCACACCCATGCCCACACCGGCCCTTAACCGCATCATTCCTTGCTGAAGCTGAAACATCTGATTAAATAAATAAACGCATTAGCAACCACTGCAGAGCAGCGAAAATGCGATTAATTGAGTTGCACCCGCTTAATGCTCTGCGAAGTTGTTCTTTGTACTAAGAGATCAACTAATAATACCCTGTAATCAGCTCTAAGTACTATGCTATCAGTAAAGCCATGTTCCATATTCCTTAATCGATATTCATAATAATAATCAATAGAATGACAAAATGTAGTATACAATTGGATCACTTCGATAAGCAATACCCTGTAAATTTGTTAAGATACAAGTTTCCACAACATAACAGAACGGTTTAAAGGTTTAAATGTGTAAATCAACGAAATTCTTTTGATTATTCCTTAATACAATAGTAATCTTTATTAATTGAATTCAATTTATTATATATATATATATATATATATATATATATGTACCTTCGCTGGAGGTTTATTTGCTTGGGTTGGTTTCTGCTATGATGGACACGAATGTTGCATATTACATGGGCACGGCACTTACAAAATATCACGCATGCAACGTCACATATAGCATATGGCAGTATAGATTCAGAGTCAGAAGGAGAGGAGCAGCCGAGGCAGAGGTAAGGGCAGAGGCAAAGACGGATCTAGAGGTAGGGCTAGAGACAGAGGCAGAGACTCATATGTGTTTACCTCCCGCCCCGACCCGCCCCGCCCACCACTGTTATGGCCGCTTGTGGAAGCTGTCTGGTCTGGTTGCACCATTTTTGGCGCTCTTGACTTTGACTTTGGCACATCAAAGCCCATTTGGCAAACGGCAGCTGCAACCAAGCGAAGCACAGAACCAGCTTAAGTACACAGAATTGCGCCCTGTTTTGCGGTTGCCAAGCATTCCTCACTCCATCATTCTACACTTGGTTGGTGTATGGCTCTGGTTGCCTAAAGCACTTTTAACATTTGCATATTTTATTGTGTTTTAATTAACTTAAATTCTACATTGATTTTGTTTGGCCAGCCTGCCAGCAAGCCAGTCAATGCTGAGTGCAGATGGCCCAAGACTTTCACTGCGACCACGCATATCGAACGCATTTGGGGTCTCGGATAATGATGCACCCTACTGTAGCCATGTGTGTCTAAGTTATGTGCTGGCCAAGGCTAGACTAGAAGTTACATTTATTAATATATTATTATAATATATTATAAAATCCTGTATTCTTCAAAGAATAAAACACTCAAATATGCATTGTGCCAAAGTATATGATTTTTTAAGGATATTCAAATAGTGGAGTACTTCATATTTTGTTTATCTGTAGAAGAACTTACTTAAATTGATTGGATTCATCGCTTTCATCAAAACTAGGAAGTTACAGATTATGTGGGCTAAATTAAATATGGGCGTGTTGCAAACAGACATGGAGACAGAAAGTCCTAAATGCACTCGCAAGCTGCTTCTGATAAATAACATATTCACCCTCTGAGGTCACGCCTCCTTCTGCTCTAAATTACTATTGGGTAATGAGTTCCATGTCACTTAATTCCAAGATACACCTTCCCTCGCTATTGCGAGCCTGTCTCTATTAGACTATCAGATCAATCGACACGGTCAATTAAATTCATTGCTCATAAAGAAAGGCTGGCATTGACATATTATGTCTTTAATTTGATAGTCCGTGCACATTAAAATAGTAGTTTACATTTCTTAATTTAATATATTTTTTTTTGTATCCTTTTTTGTGATTCATAAAAAAAATGATATAACAAACCAATTAATGAATTTCTGCTAAAGTTAAATCGAATTGCTGTTGTAGGTCGAATGGTCTGGCAGCATAAGTACGCCGTCCGAAGAGAATTGTCATCAATGGACTGTCGGTCTTTATTTTTATATTTCGTTTTTGTTGAGATTATGATATTGTACTTAGTCAGTGCAATGGAAAGGAAGCTTACATTGAAATATTTGATTCTTAAAAAGTAACTATAGTAGAGAATCAAATTCAATTGGTTCTTATTTCGAATGAATCATACGATGCATTGTTTAGTTAGGGTATTGTCAAGTCGTTCATGGT